CTAATACTCTGGAGACTGAGTGCCAGAAACCTCTATTTATCAGGCTCGGTCACTGGACAGGTTGCTTTGGTCAGGGATCATATATAAACCCATTTATGTATAGCCATTATTTATTCTACCCAAACTACTAAAAGCAGGTGTGATTTCAGCGTGTTTGCTCTGCATGTGAATTAGTTTAACAGAATAAAGTTTCATCCACAACATAAGCCTATTGCTCCAAGACTATCAATAAGGAGAAAACAAGAGCAAGTTTTAATTACAAGTTTATATAAAAAAAAAAAAAAAAACCAAACAAAAAACAGCATCCTTTCACTATGATATGTGTACAACAGAAAGCACAGTACACTTTTGAGATACAGCCCACATATTCTTTGGAGAGGGGCTACAAATTCACAAAGACATAATATTGCTATGCGAGTCCTTATTAAAAGCAATAAAAAGAACAAAATAAACAATTTATGCTCTGCAAGTCCAAGGTTTGGTGTTTACCACTGGAAATTACTTTACACAGTGTTAGAATCTAAAGCTTTGATCCCGCAAAAGAATTCTTGGGCACAGTCACAGCTCATGCACAGAGCTGCTGCAGTCAGCTACAGGTCAACACGCAGGAAATGTCCTTCAAGAACCAGGGACTGGGAAGGTTTCTAGCCTAACTATAAAAACAATTAACACAAGGATGTGAAGATGGAGGTTTCTTGGTCTATCAGTTCTCTCAAGGACTCTTCCTAAGCTTTTCTTTCCTCTGATAAGAAGCTAAGCTCTAACAGAAACATTATTTGTCACTGTTAGATCAACAGTACGGAGCCATGATGGCCCCAAAATGTGTCTTTGGCTCTTCTGGGAAGGACATAAAGGTATAATTTCCATGTTTGTCCTGTTGGCAATTCCTGACACTATGATGGTTATTACTTACACAAACAGAAATCTGCAGCCAATCAAAATAATATGGTTGGCAAGGAATCTGGGCAAACTTTAATAGCTATGGTTCTTCAACATAAAAAGGATAAAAGTAGAATAATAATTTTTGGCAGGGGAAGCGGGGAATTTTGAAAATTCTGATTGTTTTCCTATGAGGATAGTGTTATAAACAGTGAAGTAACTTAAACCACGTTGTTCTGGTTTCATGAATTCACTTGGAGTAAGATTCTGCTGGACCCACTGAGTTACACTCAACTCATTCCCACTTTTCTCAAACTGAGGTTATCTGGAATACACAAAAAGGTAAGAGAGTGGGATTTGGCACAGAAACTGCATGGTCGAAACAATTTCAATGTCTTTCTGAAAGAAGTTATCTGTGCATGCAAGTGTGCTACAGTGGAATACACAGAGCTCTCTTCTCAAGAAAGCATAATTAACTTCAGCCTCCTGGGGAACAGAGAGCCAAGAAAGGCATGTACCAAGTGGAAGATGGACATAAATTCAAATATAAAAGCCATTTTCACTGAAGTTTTTGCTTTCATTTTCAACAAGCTCCAGTGCTATGCTCAGGGCAGTACCAGCCTGACAGTTTTTCAGTGGAATCTGATGAAGCAAATAGGCAGAATTATATTATTTTTGTAATAATTAAACTCACTTTCCACAGACTGAATATGTGAAGAAGCTAAGTTAGTAGCTTTTCCATTAAAAAGTACATGCTGGCTAAGAAAGACTATTTTGTAGGCACAGAATTAGGTGAATTTGTTAATCTGCAGTGAGAAGCAGAATAAAAACATATTAATGACATCATAAGCAAGTAAATGTCCTTACTAGCTAATGATGAAAAGTTTTGCCTCTCCTAGAAACCAACATCCTGTAAACATTTTCCCTGCCTTTTGAAAAAAGTCAAAACCTTCACAAATAGAGAACCAAGAAAAGACATTCAAAACTACCCCATCAAAAGTAATCTTTTAATATTTTTGAAATATTTACTTTTATTTTTTACCTTTATATGATGGCATGGTGCTTTGGAACAAAGACGTACTAAGCCCCAAATCAGAATGATCTGTTTGATAGCACTGAGGTGAACTTCTTTCCCCAAGGCAATAACATAAAGAAGCTAAGAAGTATTTTGAAGGACGAATGAATAAAAAAAAAAAGACTATTGCATGTGAATGGTTTTGTATGAAGTGCCATATTCAGATTTGAAAAAAAATTTGCTGAAATATTTCCCAGACAGATCTACTTCTGCTTCTAATTCATTGTCACAGGCTCAGTATCAGTCACTTAAAATATGTGTTTCATCATGTACCTAAAATTGTGACATTCTTTAATAATACTTAATACAAAAATCTTTTATTTCCTTTATACTACATATTTACAACTCTACTGTCAAGGTACTGTGGAATATGTAAACAAGAATACACAGGCGTAAACAATATGGCTTGAGAAAGGTTTCCCCTTTGATTAACTGGATTAATCATGTATCAGGATACACAGATAAGAAAAAAGACCAGTACATTTTGTAAACTGCTGCCAAACAGCAAAATGTAAATTCTTGGGGTTTATGCATTAGTTTTTGAGTAACCATACCAGTCATTGGGTGTCCTTCCCTAAACTGAACTTCCCAATCTACTGGAGCAGCACCAGTGGAGGGTGACTGAGATAATCGGGGCTGGTACAGTTGGGTGGGTCTGGAGAGAGCAGGGTTTACTCAGTCTTCAAAAGAGAAGACCAAGAGGAGGTATTTCTGCTGCCTTCAACTACCCCATGGGGGCTGTAGATGAGATAAACCCAAACGCTTCCCAGAGAGACCCACTGAAAGGCTGGGAAGCAGCAGATCAAACTTAGGAAATTTTGATTAGAAAGTAGGAAAAAAAAAATCAAAATCATGAGCATGAAATTTTCACTGGGATAGGGGCTCAAAGAGGTGGTGGGATCTTCATCCTTGAAGATACTCAGAACTCAAATAGCTAAATATGTGAGCAACCCTATTTAATTCTGAAGCTGAAGAGACCTCCAGAGGTCTTTCTATGATTCCATCAAAAATCTTGAATATGATGGAAAGTTTGCATTACAATCATAGTTTGGCTTTGTAGTGAACACACACATAGTTAAGATCAAAATATGTCCATTGCTTAACTTGGATCATTCTTCTCCAGAATTTGCTAAGATTATGTCTAATTGTCTCACAGATTTACCTTAACAGTTCCAGTTCAGTGAAATTGCCCCAAATTCATACAAATGTAGGATCAGACCCAGGCCATCTCATCTCCAAAAGAACATTTAAAATGTCACAGCTGACAGTAAGGCCCTGCTGAGAGCCACACACTTCTGATTAGTTTTGGGACAACAACAATATTGTCATGTTTACATTGAGTAAACTTTCCAGTGACATTCATAGAGCTCTTAAGAAGAAATGACGAGGGGTCAGCACCAGCCCCTGTGATTTTCTGGCTGAAAACACTGTTGGTTAATTAATTCTGACACATTCACATCTAGCTTTATTGTGTTTAGGATGACTTTCAATACCTATGAACTGATGAATAATAACAATAAGATTTCCAAGAAGCTTGAAAAATACCCTCCAAATCTATATTGCTTCCAAAAGATCACAGTTTGAATTAACCTCCCAAGTGAGCAAGTGTCTCTTGCTTTTTACTTGACAGTTTATGGCTGCAGATGCATTTAAGACCTGAGGTGAACCATGGCGTAGAGGTATTACTTCACCCACTCCTTATCCAACAGTGACAACACACAACATCTTTAAAAGTCACAAGTTACCATCAATTATTGTCACCTTGTCTTTTCTAAGACTGCAGAGTTGCAGTTTGTTATGGTGTGTGAACACAAGACCTGGAACTGCTTATATGACAATGTCTACAGAGCCCACTGTGGTCCTGATGCCCTTTAATAAGTGCACTTTTGATATATTCAGACTCAAGAGGTTACTACGGAGATATTGTAACTCCTAAGCTAAAGAGAGGTATAAAGAGGCACTCCAAAATCTTTTAGTCTAGTTAATTCACAATATTAAATAGACAACATTATTTCTTTACAATGACATAGTCCTATATTAAAGAACAACCTGTCTAAACAGACGAAATAGCACCAAAGTGTTTTGTTCTCTTAAGTGACCAACAGCAGCTTCTGAATGGTTATCAGGACATTTTAAAGCTGACTTAATTAAACTATTGTGCAGTAAAAGGACATTATAATCCTTTCTATAAAGAACACAGAGATTATCTTTAAACACCTACCCTTGCTCACTACCTGCTTTCTCCATCCAAGATAAAAGTCTTTTCTGCATTAGAAAGTACTGTTTGATGAGAACTGCTGCATAGTTTAACTTGATAAACTGCTGAGAAAGTCAATCCACAGCTGGGAGAATGTAGAAAGCCAGAAGAGTCTGACAGATGACACCATGCTCTTTGGAAGATGGATTCAGACATAAGCAAGATATAAGAGACCTTCCAATCCATCAGTGCCCACTAGAAATACAAGACATATACTCAAATTAATTAACAACTTATCAAGGACTGTGGCAGATTCTTTGTCAGTTGCAAGTCTAAAATCAGCCTGAATGCTCTTCTAGAACACACAATGTTATTCAAAGAGGAATTAATTTGGTGACTCCCCCTAGTTTCTGTGCAATGTGATTTTGCAGTGAATCCATACTGGCTTCGTAATCTGTGAAACACTCCTTAAACTTCACACTGGTTGTCAAGTAGGTTTAGAAAATCCCTTAGATGTGGCGTGTCTCACTGCACATTGATATGTCACATACTGCTTATCCTGATACTCTTTCGAGCTGGTCTCATAAAAACAGGTCCAAGCTTTCAAACGATTAATTATATATCAGAAAGAATGTCCAGAGAAGATTAATGGAGGGGCAAGAGGCTAGGAATAAATGCATGAAATGGATTCAACTTTTTAAAAGGATCCAGCTACTAAATGGCCTCTGTAGTCTTCCATAAGCAGTGTGAATACTTCAGTACAATTCAAGCTGAATTGAATAGCTGTTTTCATATCCAAATTCAAATACCGTCTGTGCATATAAAACAGTTCATTTATTAGTCCAAACATTACTGTTGTAGAGCTCTTGGAAAAATATTCCCTTTCTCTTCAGTTTGTTCTTCATAAAAAGGAAGCTTTGGAGGGCCACCTAGAGAATTAAGTAGAAACACAGTTTCCGGTCTATATAACATAATGCTGAAATATTAGATAGATTATACAATTTACACTTAAATAATTGAATAAAGGGTGCTCTTCAAAAAGAGGGTAGAGGAGTGAGTTACACTACCTTCCTCACAGAGGCAGAGAGCAGGCAAAACAATGGAAATTACTCAAATGGAAGGTTCCCAAAGCATTTCCTAAACTAAATGCAGACCTGTATGGTATCACCATCAAGCCAGTTGTGATTAGGCTACAAGCAGGAGGAAACTTGCACTCAGTACTGTCTCATTGAGAGATTATCTACATTAAAAAAAAAAAAACCTAAACAAACAACCAAACCCCAACCCCTGTTATGACAATCCAGTGGGTACCTTGGCACACTCACAAATCAATCCAAATCTATTTTCCAATGTTTAATCTGCTTATCTGGCTTGTTGCCTCTCACCATGCTCTCTAAAGCCTGACACCTCTACAAAAAGTAGGAGATACTGACTTACACAGCAAGTAAACCTCCTTATTCATCTTACAGAGGCTGAGGGTATCAGCTGTTTCAGAGCAAGATTTCACATTGGCAGGCATAGAAGAGTGTACTGTGGCAGCCTCAGGAATCTCTGAGCAGACTGTGCAAGATCTCCACAGCCTGTTCTGAGGGGAAACCACCGCCCTGAGTCAGTTCAGCTTGGCCAAGACCTCCACCTGGAATGACTCCTGGCATTTGCACCACCAGGTGCCTGGACCCTTAGGAGGACATCACACACTAGCACAACCCTTCCAGGCAAAGCTGCTGCTATCACAGGCTCTGAGTTTTTCACCAGAGGTGGAAATGCAGAATAGCTTCTGCCTCACAAAGCCCGTCACAGAAACTGGTGGCTGCTGCTGCTAATCACCATGTTTGCATGGTGGGTTGATACTCCTGTCCAAAGGCTTCACTGACCACCACCATGGCCAGTGCATGATTTCTTCTACTAAGAAAGGGCTGCACATCTCTAGCTTGTTACCTTCTTTGCAGGTCGGCCCTGTCCATGTGGCTGGGCACACACAATTCCCGTTGAATGGATTGCACTGGGATTTGTTGGCACACTGGCATTGCAGGGAGCAGTTGGGTCCATACTGGTCTGACCTGCATTCTGGAAGGACAAAAGTGTTTGGAAGAGGGTGAATGCTCTGAACATTCTCCAGGATCAGGAAGCTTCTTAGACAACTACATCTGTTAACATTAAAACATGACATTTTGGAAAGCCTTGCAGTCTTCAAGTTTTGTCTATCACATGGTCTGCCCAAACTGTAGCCCAGCTGTCCTAAAGAAGTTCCCAGAATGGAAATCATGACTAGTGTAAAAAACAGGGGCTGACAGCTGAAGAGAGAAGATCTTGGGATCTGCTCAGGAAAGTTACTGTCAGCATCCTGGATCCACACTATATCTCCTACACTGCTTGGCTGTCTCTGTGTGCCGGCAAGGAGCCTGCACTCAAAGAATGTGAAATTGAAACTTAATCCATTTTATATATGCTCTTATGTCTTACACTAATTGCACAATCCTGCTGCCTCTTGGCACGTTAAACTCGCACAATGTCTCGCTTCCAAATACAAATATATTTCATATCTAGGCTGATAAAACCTCATTGCTATGTTTTTCTGCACTCAGAGCACAGGCACAAAGGAAAAGTTAGCAGCAGGTCACAGGGCAGGGTGCTAAATACCCTGTAAACAATAGTCCTCTCTCTCTCACCTCACTAGAAAACAGTAAATAACCAAGGCACTTGCTTTCTCACACAAGCACCACTGGGTAAATAAAAGTGGTGCTGAGTCCCAACACGTGGGAGAACTCTCCCCGAGTGCTCGGAGCTTGGCCTTTTCAATTAGGGAACATTATGAGAAAAGGTCTCCTCAAACACTTCTGGACCTGATTTTAATTTCTGTAATACCACATTTTCATGCTAATAACAATGTGTATTTAAGACATCTGTTTGAAAGTCTGCAATGTTAATTTACTACAGAAAAAGAGCGCCCATAAAAGTCTGTTATATTCCTTTTTTTTTTTTTTTTTTTTTTTTTAATTAACATTTTGCCTGTTTAATGGGTACTTTACCAGAGTTCAAATTAAAATCAGGCCTTTTATCTTTATGGCCACTGCACAGTCACAGCTGCTCACAGTTATATCACAGATGAACTGAACCTAATTGAAAATAAAAATGCAAATAAAACCTACCCCATAACAGCTTTTCATGGATGTGGGCTACCCTTGCTGATTGAAGAAAAATAAAAATGACTCCTAAAGTTTGCAAGAAGCAAAACCTTGCTTCACATTTTTGGTGCTGAGCTTCCCCCTTGCGTTCCACTTCTGCCAAAAATATTGCTGGAAAGGCCCCTGGATGCCCAGCAGCATGCTGGCCGTGGGGGTGTCTGGTGTCCACCGTCAGATCAGTGCCTGCAGACTGGGTGGCTTTGGTTTTTGACCACAGGACAGTGTAGAGAGGGAAGCAAATTATTTTCTATTTTAGTTTTGTGGGTTGAGCTAGCACTTAAGCTCCCAGCAATTACTTTGCATTAATAACAGACTGTTTAAAGCCGTTTCCCACCATATCCTAGAACAAAAGGAGGAATACTATTCCCTCACTGTGATATGGGGGCTCAGGGGGATTATGGTTCCTGGTGTGAACCTCCAAAATTAGCACATGGGTGTTCAGTCTTTTTATATTGTTTGCCACAGCATTAAGATCACAAATCTCTTCTTAAACCACTGCAATTCCTCTTACTGCACTGATTACACTAAATTTACTCTGCCATCACTGTGATCAGAGTCTGGCTCAAGAAACTTGCCTGTCCTTGCTGCCTCTCAACCCTGAAACCACCTTCTCTGGGATGGATTTTCTCTACAGGAGAATTTTCCCACCTGTTTGTGTACCCTTGTTACAACCACTGGTCCAACCATTTCCCAAACACACAGCCCAAGTGCCTGTGCTGCAAATGAGGGAATTTTATTTGGATTAAATGTTCCTGGGCTTCTGCTGAAGGCATAGCTTCTGCAGCTCTGCTACCCTCATTCACTGGGATTTTGCTTTGCTTCCTGGGGAAGCAAACTCAGAACTGGATCTACTTTTGCATTGGTCTGAAAAGCATCACAAATGCCCATTCAACAAAACACACAGCAATCAGATCCCTTCATGCCCATTTACACCAGCTGGAGTCTTCCCAACTATCTGTAAAAATTTGGGTTTCTTGGGATTTCCTTCACTGGTGCATGCTCTTCAAAACTCAAGGCAAATGACATTTTACAGCTGACCCATGAACAGTTTTCCTATCGGTGTATCAATGGAAATATTGATTAAATCAAGACGTACAGCTTGTTGATAAAGCTGTTGATAACCCATAAGAGTAATTTTCTACAAACAATGTGTTCTGGAATACCAGCAAACGTCCTTTTACAGTTTTCTTAGACCAACAGGTCATATTGGCTTAACCACACACAGCCCAGCCCTTAGAAAATACTCCCTTACCAATGTCACATTTGTCACCAGTTTTGCCAGGTGGGCAAAGGCACTTCCCAGTCTCTGGATCACAAGGAGCATCTCTGCAGTCACACTGGTGTTGGCATCTCTCTCCAAACCAGCCCCTGTCACAGCCTGACAGCAAGAGAACTTTTTTAGGCACACATTTGAATGGCAGAATGTACATTAAGCCAGACGAGCTTTTCCAGGATGTCTCAGAGGAAAGCTCATGAATTTGCTACTGCAGTGAGTGCAAATGCCCAGTTTAGTGAAGAATTGACCATAGCAGAATAGGCATTATATTTATATGAACTCTCTCTGTGTTGGGTTCATCTAATCTAACCTGTCAGAGTTATCTGCAAATCTATCCCAGAAATGTACCTGGCACTTATTTTCACTTTTATTAGAACTTTCTAGTAGACCATTCCATAACACTCAACAAGTCTGACATGCACCTATTTAATAATCTCATTCAGAGTTTTAGAAACAAATTCAAAATCAGTAAAAGGAACTTATTTTTAATAAATGACATGTGGAACTCATTGCTGCAAGACATCACGGAGACCAGGACTTTCACAGTATTAATTGGAACCAGATCAGTTAATTTATAAGGAAATAAGAGCACCCAGCTACACAGCAGGTAAACAATCTCAAATCTAGTGGTTCGGGATATTAATAAAGCTCAAAATAGGGAAGAAGTTGTTCTCAACAAATATTGGGAGTAATGACACAAGGCTTTCTGAATTTTTTTTTTTTTTTTTTTTCTTTCTTTTCATCAGAGGGGTACAAGTACCTTTTTCACAGTGGACACCCTGATAACCCAAAGGACAAAAGCACTGTCCTGTCACTGCGTCGCAGCTTGCTCCATTTTTACAGGCACATGCATGAAGACAGCTTAGGCCATAAAATCCAAGGGGACACCCTGAAAAATTAAAGTATCAAATGAAGGTTTATGAAGAAAACCATCTATCCCTTTAAAATCAATCCCAGCTACATTCACTGTGAGCCAATAAAAATTATATTTATTATTAACTCTACTAATGCCATGTGCTTTTAAACTTCTACCACCTCAGCATCAGAGTTACTCGGATCTGGAAACAGCTGGGTGACCTGGGCCACCCCAAACATTTTGGCTGAACTGGTGAGGTGTTTACATGACCACTCTGAAGCCCCACATCCTGTCACTGATGGAAAAGGCTGCCCCAGGTGCCTACACTTACTGTGCTCACAGGAGTGGCCGTAGTAACCCTCGGGGCACTGGCAGCAGCCGGGGAACCTGTCGCAGGACAGCAGCCGGTGAACCTGTCGCAGGTGCCATTGTGCTGGCACGAGCAGTCCAAGCTGCAGTCAGACCCGTACTTCCCTGGGAGACATTCTGCTGGCAGGATGCAGACAGAGCAACAGACAAACAAACAAACAAAAAGTCACTGACCTCGCCCAGAAAAGCTCTTATACGACACCTTACTTAGACATATAGAACATTGTGGTTGGAAGAGACCTTCAAGATCATCAAGTCCAACCATTAACCCAGCACTGCCAAGTCCACTGCTAAACCACATCCCTTCAGCACCACATCTACATGGCTTTTAAATGCCTCCAGGGATGGCAACTCCTTTGCTTTCCTGAGCAGCCTATTATGATGCACATACAATAAGTTGAAGAGCCAAAAAGAACATTTTCTTATGAAGACACAACATTTCTGTACAACTATGATGTATTTAGGGATACAAAGATGATCAAGGAGCTGGAGCACCTCCCCTATGAAGACAGGCAGAGAGAGTTCGGGTTGTTCAGTCTGGAGAAGAGAAAGCTCCAGGGAGATCTTATAGCAGCCTTCTAGTATCTGAAGGGGGCCTACAGGAAAGCTGTGAGGAACTCTTTCTCAGGGAGTGTAGGGATAGGACAAAGGGTAATGGTTTTAAACTGAAAGAGGGTAGATTTAGATTAGATATAAGGAAGAAAATATTTTCTGTGAGGATGCTGGGACACTGGAACAGGTTGCCCAGAGATCCTGTGGATGCCCCATCCTTTTAAGCATTCAGGCCCAGGCTGGATGGGGCTTTGAGCAGTCTAGTCTAGTGGGAGGTGTCCCTGCTCATGGCAGAGAGTTTGGAACTAGAGGATCTTTAAGGTCCCCTCCAACCCAAACTATTCTATGATTCACATACTTTGATGAGAAATCCTTTATGTTGTGTAGATTTTTGAACAGACATTTCCTTGTACTTTTTATAGTTTACCTTTTTAATTTGTCTCTTCCTGTAGTTAGTGCTGAACCCACACCATGTACTGTAAAGCCGCATAGTAAATGGCATAAATGGTATCTTCTATTTTTTTTTTTTCCTTCTTTAGCTATAGCAATATTTTCTTTTAGGCACTTAGTGTGAAAGAAAACACAAAGCATTTCCTCCTCTGTGTTACCATTGGAGTTCACACTGTTCCAATTCCTAATAAACCAAGAGGATCTCTTTTTCACACGTAGCAACAGACTTTCCATGTATAATGAGATCTCTGCTTTTACAGAACTACACACATCTCAAATTACTGAAAGCCAAGTCATGCAAAAGTGACTGTGCCAATATAATTACCCTGGGCATCATTTCTGCATAAGTTAACTTCCCACTGCTCTGTGAATTTGAATCTGGGCTGAAGGAGGTAAACGAGCGTGGCCGTCCTAATAATCAGATCCATAACTCTGCAAATGTCAGGCAAGATCTTTCCAGATCATCGTATCTAATCACTAGAAAAAGGCTGTCTGATTAGCTGTCTTTGATTTCTAGTCAAAACACACTCACAATCACCCTGCTGTGGAAATCAAGTCTCAATTTTCCAGTAACTTGGCTAGATCTGTCAAAAGGTAAACAGTGAAGCTCTTTCTAGTGATGTGATACGCAGTCTCTTGGACAATGTGTGTACATCTGGTTGCCCCTCTGCTTGACTTCAGAGCTGTTTCATCTACACACATGTACAAGATATACCCATGACCTACTGCTCCATGTGGTGACACCTGCTACTGAGGCTCTGCAACCAAAAGGCAGCCTGTGGGTGGTTACAGAGTTTTCAGGGAATGGACAAATAGAGATGAAGACAGGTGGCCCATGCAAAGTTAGCCAGTTTTGGGTAAACTGCACAAAACTGGGCACAAAGTGGAACACACAAAGTTCCACCTGAACATAAGAAGAAACTTCTTCCCTGTGCGGGTGATGGAGCCGTGGAGCAGGCTGCCCAGAGAGACTGTTGAGTCACCTCTGGAGACTTTCAAAACCCACCTGGACACGTTCCTGTGTAACATGCCCTAGATGAACCTGCTTTGGCAGGGGCATTGGACTAGATGGTCTCCAGAGGTCCCTTCCTAGCATTCCGTGAAGTAAGGATGAGACAGCAGGACAATCTCAATTACTTCGAACAGATGTTGTCAGAACTGTACAAGCAGGGAAGTCAATTTTTGGGAAGTTCAACTGCAGTCCGGTTTCAAAGGGAAGAGAATAACAACAGAGAACATAACAAGAGAGGAGGGAGATGTGGGCTTCTGCTGACCTCAAAGAAGCACGTGAAAGAAGATACAAACCAATGTTCCCATGAACAAAAGAACACGAAAGTTGGACAGGACAAGTAGTAAGAGTCTGTGCAAAGGAATTTATGAGAGTTACAGAGCAGGACTCATGAGGAAACTGTCTCTGAAAAAAGACCTAAAGCTCTAACTCACGCCAGTTGTACGTGAGAGAAGCTACAGAGACGAATGCAGCTGGGAGGGAGTCTACTTAAGCAAAAACTGTCCCCTTTTGTGGGTCTGTAGACACTGTGAACACCTGTTTGAATGTACACATGCACTACCACCAAAGCAGAAAATTACCTTTCTCACACGATCTTCCTGTCCATCCGAGCCCACAAGTGCAGCTGCCATCCACGTGGTCACAGATACCACCATTCTGACAGGTACATGTCAGGTTGCAGTTGGGGCCATATTGTCCCTGAGGACACACTACAGAGAATTAACAGTGTTGGGAAAAAAAAAAAAATTAGCATCCCAAAAAAGGATGAAGGTGACAGGGAATAAATACAAACACATGCTCCCCACAGAGTGTCCCAAGTGCCTGGTATCTCCTCTGAGGACTGTAGGCCACGCTACTCCATGCTTATTAGCAATTTCATCCACAAACTTTGTGTCTCACCATATGTCCTCCATATTTGCTCCTCTTACCCCCTTCCCTTTGTCCCATCTCTCAACTCTCCTCCATCAAATCCTCTCCCTTCACTTTTCAGCTCAAGCACTTTGCTTCTAAATTTAGTCCCACCCATCCACAGTGCTCTCACACTGCTCATGTTGTGTGCTACAAACGACCCTTTTCCCCATCTTTATCACATCTTTGGGCGTTGGAAGAGACTTTTGGAGATGATCTCATCCAACACCCCTGCAAAAGCAGGGTCACCCAGAGCAGGTTGCCCAGGATCAAGTCCAGGTGGGTTTTGAAAGTCTCCAGAGAAGGAGACCCCACAACCTCTCTGGGCAGCCTGCTGCAGGGCCTCACTACTGTCACCAGAAAGGAGTTTCTCCTTATGTTTAGGTGGAACTTTGTGTGTTCCAGTTTATACCCATTGCCCCATGTCCTGCTGCTGGGCACCACTGAAAAGAGACTGGTCCTTTAGATATTATACACATTGATATCTTTATGCTTTGTTTGGACTGCATTCTCTGAAAGGAGTCACCAGTGCAATGGTAGCAAGTGTGGTGGAGCAAAGTGGTGAGATGTGGGCAGGAGACGGGCAGGATAAAAGCAGGGCAACAGAGCAGAGAGGGACAGGTGCTGAATACATTCAACTGCAATGTTAGCAAGCAAAGCCATTGGGAAACACAGTTATAGACAATGTTTGGCACCGAGTTTTATTTGCTGGTTGTTTTGAGTATGTGCCCAACTGATGAGATGACCTCAGGTCCCGCTTTGTTACCTTGCTGACAGCTGGGTCCCATTTGGCCGGGAGGACAGGTACACTTGCCAGTCCGTGGGTCACACTGACCTTTACCACATGCACAGAACAGGGAGCAGTCCTTCCCATATTGGTTTGCAGGGCAAGCTGAAGGAAACGTAACCTTTTGTTAAACGCCCCGAGTACCCAACGCCAGTTTTTGTTTTTAACATAGGCCAGATCTTAAAGGTAGACTTGGATCCATTTTTATTCCAGCTAACATGCTTCCAAGCAACAACTATGAAACCAAAACCCATCCAATGTCATGAATCCTTCTTCCCCTCAAACTTTACTTGAGGTTATAAATATAATCCATGTTTTCACACAGAACATTCAATAAGTTACCTATAAAAAAGGTGAGTGTACAACTGAAATATCAGCTCTTCATCCTTCCAGCTAAAGATGTCTTTCCATCCTTACTATTGATGCTCTCCTATGTTGAAGAGCAAAGCTATAAGCTACTAAACATTAAAACATTGCCCTTCTGTGAATAAGCTGAAGAGAACTTCACAGGGGCCATACCTTTGGAAACAGCACAGAAATTCAGCTACACAATTTAGCACTGAAACAGAGAAGTAAGAGTAGGGTTGCTATGGAGTCTTTACCAGTTTTGCCATGACAAAACTTGATCTTTTTCCCATTTATTGAAACTAATGGCACCACAGTGTGAGGCAAAATATTGAGATAATTTCTCAACCCAGAAATTTTATACAGGAAGAAGGAACTTGAGCAATTCATGCTGGGCTGGCTCTAGAAATAAATTTGGGCGAGCAGGTTGTAACTCTGGGATGAGTGTCCTTGTTCCTATGAATGCAGGAGAGAAGGAAAATATTTTGCAAGAGACTTTTTTACAAAGCTGGAATTCTGATTTACAATTCAAGGAGGAGGTAGTTGGGATCCGTTTTTCTACAGACAAGCTCTTATGCAGATTTCTGAAAGCAGCAGCAGATGATGTTGGCTTACTGTTGGTACAGTCGGCTCCAATGAAGCCCGGTGCACACTCACAAGCTCCTGACACAGGGTCGCAGTGGCCTCCGTTCAAGCATTGACAGGAGTTTTGGCACTTTGAACCATAAGTACCTTTTGGACACCCTGTTTTAAAAGAACAAAAGAGCAATTAGGCTTAGGTGGCTACTGGGCCCATTGCATTTTATGTCACAAGTGATTCGTTGCTTTCGACCCAAATTAGATTTTAATTTTCTAACTTTGTTCACTTCTAGAGGGCCAGGAGTAGGCATTGATGGTTGCCTTGGGCAATGCACTCCTTGGGGTGGCAAGGCAGTGCTGATTTGCAATGCCAAAACCCCTGGAGTGCTCGGCTGACTGCTGCTGCCTCTGCCTGCTCCTCCCATTCCTCATATGTGATGGGAGAAAGAAAAGCCCAGTTCTTCAGAGGTTTTCCTCTTGGATTTCTGCTCCAAATGAACCTGTTGCCCCTTTCCCTCCTATGGCAGAGATGGATAGACAGGGCCCTGGTCCCTCTTTCTTTGGGCAGCAACAGCCTGGTTTGTCTGAGGTGGTGAGAAGCTGGGAGACGTCTCTGCTCCTTTTGGCAGTCTCCTACTGGGGCAGGTCCCATCTTTCCAAAACCTTTAAGATGGAGAAATTTTGTTTCCTCTACAATCTGCTCCTTCCCTCCAAAGTGGAGTTGTCATTGCTGTGACACATCCAGTGCGCTGTGGATGGAAGACTATGAAAACATGCACATGACAATAACATGAAATTTCAGAAGAGACTTTCTCAGAAGATAGATAAAGGAAAGAGATGCTTTAAAGCCAGAAATTTCTCTGAGGAGAAAAAGAAAGCAGTTGTATTTTGGAATAACCAGAAGAAACATTCGACCCAGCTTGATAGCTGAGCCAACGTTACATGGCAACGAGCTGTCCATGAAGACATTTTCCAGGTGGTAGCAAGTATGTCTGGTTTCTTTTTGGACAGCTAACGTTGAAGGAGTGCTGAATACAAGATCAGAAAGACATGAATGCATTTGCCATGCTTAGCTCCTGTCTTCAAGATACTCTTCAGAGTGATGGAGGTTGGAACTGAGGAGAAGAGCTGGGCAGAGCTGCTAGACACACGCCTCCATCTGCCAGGGTTGCCTCCAGCATGCCACCACTGAACTCTGCAGATGCAGGTTATCCTCATAATTTTCCAGTGTACTGGAAGAGGAAGAAGTTGTTGCTTTTAGAGCATTATGATCATCATTGAACAGGCACACTAATGCTACTGCATTTCTTTTTTACTTCCTTGCTTCTCTTCCCCTGGCAAAAAGAATGCCTATGGCTACTTCGGAAATGTAGTTGAATATATATATATTTGTACACGTCTCCAAGCAACAGACCTCTTGCAATCTCTGTATAAATAACTTTATATACTTTCTCTCTTTTCTGAAGACATGAAAGCATGGTTGAGTAACTGGAGAAATCTTTGGATTTTTTTTTTTAACTATTCAACACAGAGGGAGAGCTTATGGTGAAGCTTCAAAAGGGATGGTTTTAAAGATAAAACTGAATATTCTGCTCAAATGAGGGTAGCAGATCATCAGGACTAAACAGACACATGCTTCTATAACATGCAGATACTCTCTCCAGCCCTTCTCAACCATGGCTTCTTCTCAATGAATACATCGTCATCAGTGCTTCCATCTGCCAGTACAAAAAATCAGTTTCATTTGCAAGCCCTGACCTCAAGGACTGGGCCCTGCACCATCTACTTCATATCCACCAAGACATGAAGTTAAGGGCACACCCAAGTTCAATGATTCAATTGCACTCTGAGTTTCTCTTTTCCTCCTCCTTTTCCTTTCAGTCATCATTTGGCTTTTCTCTTCTTTTAATTCTGCTTTTCACACTCCCAAACATGTTGCTTCTCCCTGGCAAAGCTTTCAGAGTTGTTCCTCAGCTCAAGACTAGCAAGACCTGCTCCATTACTGAAAGTGATGCAGTAATTCCCCCTTTACAAATTTATTTATCCTTGCAGCATTTTATTTACTTCAGTTCAAGAGAGAGCAGCACAAGCAGAGCAAGCACATCAGCTGTGATGTTCACGTGGTCTTTAACAAGGCCTTCTCATCTGTTACCACTTTACAGAAGAACTTCTATGCAGATAGCTAGGACAATTTACAGAGTCCTGCTGTTTAAGTAGGCTCTGTCTTTACAAAGAGGGCTAGCCTCTAACCACCAGTTATCTCATAAAGACATTTTCTAATTTAACGGTTTCCTGTGCATCTGACAGAACATCAGGAACAGCAGCCAGATTTCTAACTCATATCCTGATTTTTTCCTTCTGGTTTGGGTAGGTTTGCCATGACAAAGAGCTCCTAAATCTTTTCCTACCAACTGCATACACTAAGGCTTTTCTTAGCAACGTTATTAATTGCACGGTCAAAAAATCACTTCTGAAGCATCCTGTTACCTACAACTTGAAGCTGGTGAGGTCTTTCTGGCTCAGGGTTCACCCAGCCCAATAAATGTCACAGAGATGCAACATAGTTTTTTTTTTAACCATTACATCACCACTTACTGCTTTTTATTCATAACTTCACTCAAGGAGATCTGTGTGTCCACCAAGTTATGGACAATTGATGGGAACCTTATAGCTAGTTTGTCTGCTTCCTCTGGATCCTGCCAAGAGACTGTTTCAGCTCTTCACTCCAAAACTTGAGAACATGAAAGTCTCGTTGCTCTTGGCTCCTGGAAATTTGACTTCCCAGCCAACAACACCTTTTATAGACACTTTCTTGAACCTTTTTTCACAGTACTATAAATATAGCAATAGTTGCCAGAAACTGTTTCCAGCAGCATCCAACCACATGTTGACTGGACTGAAGCCCATTTCACGTCTCTGGGAGCGGCTCCCTATGCTGTTTTTAATATTATATCGAAAGCTTCTTCATTCTGGAGCAGCCCCAGTTCTCCCTGTAGTGAGGATGGTGGGAACATGGAGTATTCCCACTGAAGTCATGCTAGCTATCCTTGGTTATCAGGCAGTCACTTCAGAATCAGGTCAACAGTCTCTCAGTCCACTGACCTAAGCCTAAAAATATCTCACACTTGAACTGCTCTCCTTCCATTTTTGTGTCTGTCTATGCAATGATCAGAGTGGCATAGGGGAGAACAGTAAAAAAATCTCCACATAGATGCAAGACAAATCTCTCTCTGTGAACCTCCACCATTCCATTATCTCTCCCAATCATGTTTAACAACACTGTATTTATTAAGTGAGAATTTGCTGTGCAAGGTACCGTGTATTTTGGAACCTAAGAGGACACAACGTCACGATGGCTTGTGTCTCATATGCTATAGGTTTAATCCTGGCTACAGGGAATTCTGTGACAAAATCCCCTCTGAATGCAATGAAACGCAGATTACATTTTATAAGCAATTTCTTTTATATCAGAACTTCAGTGCAATTATTAATGTTTTAAAATTTAAAATTCTGCAATAAAATCTTAAGGATCTAAGCAAGCTGGAGGACATTTACTATCATCTCTAGGGATTTAGTACAACATGCACAGGTAATGACTACTGAAAGACTGCTATGTAAAAATAATAGGCTAAACATGATTGAGCCTTTTAAAATGATGCTGTTAAATAGTTGATCTCCACTGCTGCTCTACTATAACATTTATTATAATCTAATGTATAATAGATCCAGATGGTTCTAGCCTACATGCTGAAGGCCCGATTTCGATCTCACTTATAGTGAGAACTGATGTACAAAGGAGGATAGAATCAATCCTTACATTTACATTTATATTTGATAGAATAACTTGTGGTGACATGATGGTAATACGAACGTCCATTTCTAAAATGAGCCTCTTTCCTATTTCTGCTTGTGGAATAAAGCACAGGTTTAACCCTTACTATAACCCATATATTGCAGCTGGCCTTTTTATCCAAATTGTCACCCGAGAAAGCAAACAAACCAGAGTCACACTAGATTCCTAAGAAAGGAAAATCAGTGTTTGCCAAAGAGAGGAAGACTGAGCTTGAAAGATGACAGCTTGTTGTTGTTGAAATGAGACTATTACAAGCCATGGAGTAAAAACAAAATTAAAGTTGTAAATAAAAAAGTTAATTAACTGTCTCCTTTATTGGATACTTTGGTATATGTTTCTTATCAGTTGCCACATTCCACCAGAAACAACTTTACAGATGGTCTAAAATACCAGCATGAGCCATGTGGATCTGGGAATAGTTTTTATGATGGAGCATTCAGCCAATTGGCATTTTGTCCTTAACACTAGTCACCTTTTTTCAATCTAGAGAAACAATTTATTTAATTTGATTGTTCCTCAGAAGGCCCTACAACCTAAGTGAATTTATGAATCACTTAGATTTATTGCGAATTGCAGCTTGTTGTTTTCTAGTAACCGTTTTTTCTTACTTCAGCACGTAGAGATTTTGGGAAGTATTTTGGCCTTGGTATTTTGAAATGAAAGAGCTACACAACATCCAGGTGTAGCTGAAGATGAGAGGTGTAAATGCAGACAATATTATATTGATAATCTTCAGCGTGGCATGAAACTGGAGAGAATACAGCTAGTAAATGAGTCTGTTTTTTTAAATAAAATATGTTGTTGTTTTCAATTAATCCCTTGCAATAACACAGGTATTTTTATCATAAATTAACCCAACTCATGCTTACTTTATCTCAGTCAACACTGAAGCGACTGACACAGATGAACTCAACACACCAACACATGCTTCTGCACAACTTGGTTACTGCTCAGAAAGTGGGCAGCCCACAAAGGTACTCACGGAGGTTGCAGCTGGAGCCGTGGTACCCCGGGCGGCACACACAGGCGCCGGTCACTGGGTGACATTCCTCATTCTCAGCAGAGCACTGACACACTCGGTTACAGTTCTTGCCATACGTGCCTGGTGGACAAGCTTGGGGAAGAGGAAATGTAAACCAATAAATTAAATTTGTCTTGGTAAATATAGCACTCAAACAAAGAGCAAGTTCAAATTTATTAAATAAAATCCCTGCCTACAGAACGACGATCTCCTCCGGGACTTTGGATTTATTACATTTACTTAGGGGTTACTTCACTGCTTGATTTTGTTTTGTTCAGTCAATTTGTGCCCAACTGTCAAGGGCCAGATACAATTTTCTTGTCACTAGAAAAAAATCATAGGGAAATGTCAGGTAAAATTGACTAAAATAACAGTATAATTCACAAGGGACCAGGTGTGTGGATAAAAACATTCTACCTTTTGCAGGGAGTTTAAACTTGCAAAGCTGCTGTAGTACCAACATCTTCAAAGGTTTCATTTTGCCTGTTGACAGCCACATTGCCTACTGGTTTGGGGCTTTCCATGTCTAATTCTGACATCTCACTTCCATTAAGTTGCCAGGATTTAGAGCCCTTTAGTGAAGGATATGGGACACCAATGTCATTTTTTTTAATTCTTTTTTTTTTGTTGCTGAAGTGGTGCTCAGGGAAAATGTAAGGAAGAACAAATATGCAGCTGGGGTCACAGAATAAACCTGCTTTCAAAGGCAACTCCAGATGGCCATACTCAACAGCGAAGAAAAAAATGGTAATGGCATTTCCCTGAATTCTGACAACATGAATAGATGGTCCACTCATGGGGACAAAGCCAACAGAAAGCAGAGCTGTTGCTTTACCCATGGCACAGCGATGGCCCCAGGCAGGAGCTGGACGCCTCTGGCACCTCCTCAGTCTACTTTGATCCAGTTTAGCCCTCAGCTGCTCCCTACCAGCCTGAGAGCTGCAAACCTGGAGAGGGCAAATCCCACCAGCCACAAACTGTGCCAGGCAAAGAGGTTAGAACGGGCCAAACCTTTTGGGTGAGTGACAAGCAGCCCCTACCCACCTTCACTGCTGTGAGGTGGTTGTCCCCTCCCTCCTCAGGCATTATATCAACAGGCTTTTAATTAGGAAATCCCTTTCTTAGTTTACAAGGGAGGTATTTGCATTCTTATAGCAAACTCACGTTTCTCACAGCCATAGCCGGTGACTCCCGGGGGACAGCCGCACTTGCCCGTCAGGTGATGGCAGGGGGTACCGGCGGGACACCGGCACCGCTGGGCACAGCCCACACCGTAACGGCCGGGCAAACAAGCTGCAACGGGGCAACCAAGCCTCATTAGGTGCAAAGCCACTTCCCACCTCCAACAGTTCTGCTGTGCCCGTCCCCATGAGCACCTCCAGACCGGCCCCGTGCAGCACCGTGGGAGCGAAAGGGTCTCGTCACCAGCTCTGGGTTTTGGAGTGGAACCTTCCCTGGCCTGAGCTTTCCTCCATAAATGCCCAGCAGACACTCACGTTTGTCACAGTGCCTCCCTCGCCATCCCTTCTCACAGTGACATGCTCCGGTTTGATGGTGGCAGGACAAGCCGTGCACGCAGTCACATCGCTCCTCGCACCGCTTGCCGAAAAGCCCCGGTGGGCAGGCTGTGAGGACAAGCAGAGAGAGCAACAGTTCGTCCCCTGCATGGCAAGCATCCGTCGCTGGCACGCAAGCCAATATTATTCTACTTGCACATGGCGGTGGATATTTAGAAAACTGCATGCCCAGAAAATATCATCGAAAGAGAATATATTAAAAATATTAAAAGCATTTAGTGTTGGCTATTAACGACTCTGCAAGTGAAAGTTTTCAAAGACTTAGTCAAAGTCTATTCAGGTGATGTCTATCCTGGTGGTGATCACATTCACTTTTCCACAAATACACAGAATCCCAGAATCCCAGCATGGCAGGGATTGGAAGGGACCTCTGGAGATCATCTTGTGCAACCCCACTGCTAAAGTAGGTTCACCCAGAGCAGGGTGCCCAGGATCACATCCAGGCAGGTGTTGAATCTCTCCAGAGATGGAGACTCCACAACCTCTCTGGGCACCCTCAAAGTGAAGAAGTTTTTCCTTTTACACAATTACATATGGGCAAAGGGACTGTTGCTTGAACAGTGAAAATGTGCTGTGTCCATGTACTGCTTTCCACCTTACAGATCTCTGCAAAGTGAACAGAGAGAAAGCAAGGCCTGAGGAAAGGGAAGGTGGGTCCTGTGAAGGCTTTACAGGTCACATGGGTGGCTGAGGTCTCGTGAGTCCTCAGCACCTCTGGAGACATCAGAAAATTGCTTGCAGCTTGCAAAAGTCACAGCACCTCAGTGCCTGAGCTGGAAGCACATTTCAAGTCATCTGATATCTACTAGTTAGGAGTTTTCTATTCCAGGGATTTACATAGCTCTAAACATGCCAGACAGCCATGTCAAATCTGAGCAATCTGGCCCACATGCAGGACGGGTACAATCTGAACCATTACAGGTCAATTTGCTGAGCTCCCCTTGATGACTTACAGAGATGCAGCAGCATGTGGCTGATCTGGCAAACTGCTTATAACTCTCTCCCTTTTGTATGGTCTTCCTTGTACTTGTAGGGCAAAGAAATACCTTCATTTTCTTAGCAGGCAGGGAACAGAAGTAGGAAATAAAACTATTTGGACAAGGGCGCGTATTTGCGGTTGGGCAAAGTCCTCTCTGGGGGGCTCCCAAGACACAGGGTGAGCACTCACACCAGCATTATTTCTTCCTGCCCTACAGAATACTGGAAAATTAAGATACAAAATAGAAATGGACTTCATATTGTGGAGGCAGAAATGGCTGATTGCAGAAGAAAGTGTTAAAATAAAGCGCTCGCAGGTGGAACTGCCCTTACCCACATCACAGCGGTCCCCAGTCCAGCCGGCATGACAGATGCATCTCCCTGAGTGCTGGTCACAAACCCCGTGGTGGCAGCTACAGTTCTGCTCACAGCCTTCTCCAGAACTCCCATCCCCACACTCTGCAACAAGACGGGGGAGACTGGTGGAAACCCAGGCTGTAGGGGCTCCAGGAAGAGCACAAGCTTCTGAAATATGGTGAGCCACCTAAGCTGGTTCTAAAAACTCCCTTCAGTGAGGAAAATTTTGAGGTCTCCCCTTAACAAAATTCTCTAGAAATATAATTTTCCTCTTGGAGGATTTATTTTTTTTCCTTCTCAAATTGAGTCTATAGCCTATCTTTGCTGTCCCTAAGGGACAGTAATTAGCTTATTCCTTGCCTTTGTCCAGTAAGTTTCTAGCAGCACGGTATGTTCAAGTGCCAATACGAGATCTCCCTTTAGTCTTCTCACTTCTGCCCCAGCTTTTCCAACCTCTCTACAGCCAGTGCTCTCCAGCCCACTGCCCCTCCTCTCTGGTTTTCCTGGGCTGCCTCAAACTGAACCTTGCCAGAACTGCATTTCCTTGGAAAGTGAGTGAAAAGAGGCACTGGAGGGATGTGGGATGCGATGAGACTCACCCAGCTCACATGCTACCCCTGTCCAACCCTGGGGACACAGGCACTGCCCCGTCACGTGGTCGCACGTCGCCTGGCCATGGCAGACGCAGCGCTGCAGACAGTTTGTACCATACCATCCATGAGGACAGGCTGCCAAGAAGAGGTGGGACAAGGGCCTTCCATTAAGGAGTGCAGGTTAAACACAACTTTTCCCACCTTACATTCCTTGCCCTGGTGATCGTGGAGGTGCTGTGAGAGGTACAACGGAATAAAATTGGGGCCACAACTGATAAGCGATTATACAGAGCAGTGTACAATTGGTCTGGGGACAAAATAGGTAAGAAACAGAATTAGCTGTGACTCATCAAATCACCTGTTTGTGTCTATGAAAAACATCTCTTGGTTCCTCAACACCAAGGATTGGAGTTATTATTTCCTCTGTTTTCAGAATTTCTTTGTACAGTCTTCTTAAAATCACAACTCCTTTTCTAATTGATCCTGCTACCCACAGCTGGCTGATGACATTTCACGGTTTACCTAATTTTAATTAAGCAGGTTTATTAATTCCCATCACAACCAGTTCCTAAGGATAGGACTTAATTTTTTTTTGCACAAAAAATAAACACTTCTGTCAAGTGCCAGTGACACCTTTTCAAGATGTTAACAGGAGCAAGTTCTCACTCTGCAAAACTACAGTCACCAGAGGATGCCTCGCCCAGACTCTCACACTTATTCTACCTCCTTGCTTCTGAAGAAATCCCCAAATGTATCATTAAAGAAAAATATGAAGACATCAAACAGACATATTCATATTTGACAACAGGTTTTTTTAACTTTTTTTTTGGTTTTGTATCTGAGGCCTTCATGCAAACCAAAAAATTTTAGGTCATGTCATACATGTCATCAAGAATAGTTTGGTGCCTTCCCAGTTCTTTACCCCTTCATGGAAAGAGCTCTTATATCAGATTTTAAAGGGACACCCACTCAATTTATATATATATTCCTCCATCCCTGTCAATTTTCATCCTCTTTTCCTAATAGTCCTCTTGAGACGCTGAAGGGCAGTTTGGAGGTGCTGACACCAAACCCCAGCTCCATGGCACTGCTTACAGAGCCAGGCTCCTCACAGGGGAGGACAGAAAAAGGAACCTTCTGCAATGGATACGGACAGACGTTCTCTAGGGGCTTGGATGCAGGGGATTAGGATGTGTAATGTAAGCCTCGGCGCAGCTTTCCTTTGCCAGTCCCTTTTCTTAAGCCTCCTTGGAGTTGGGCTTGTGTTTGAGTCAGACGTATTGGTCCGATTGCCAAGGCTGGAAGTCCCAATGCCCTTCACATGTTCTGGATTTAGCCTGTGTCTGGAACAGGGTATGGTAGTGACATGGATCAGTCAGGCACATGGGATGGTCAAGTGGGCCACAGAAAAGAAATGGAGTTTCATTTCAATGTCATAACGGGAGGTTTATGGACCTTTTGTCTCTTAATCAGACTTCAAAACCAGCTCTCTTTCCAGACCCGGTACTTTGCTTCAGCCCCCTCTGCCCCACACACACTGAGCTCCTACACCCAACCCCTGCAACACATCATCACAGAGTTATTTAATGGACTAAGCCACATTATTTTGTGGATGTAAAACCAATGACTACACAAGGCAATGAGCTGGCAATTCAAATACCAACAAAGCCCCCTGAGCAGAAGTTTTCTTTTTCCCTCCTGTGAGCCTCTGCAGGAGTTTGAATTTCTGACTGTACCTTCTTGGCAGGTGGCCCCTTTCCAGCCTGGAGCACAGCGGCACGTCCCCGTTACGTGATGGCAGAGCGCTCCATTGTGACAGCGACAAGCGTGGCTGCAGCCTGGCCCGTAGCTGTCCCTCTGGCAGGCTGCAACGAGACAAGTCCACCAAACCCCATCAAGGAACCATCAAAGGAGGCACTGATCAGAGCAAACTTGAGGCACAACCCAGCGCCAGGGAAACCAGTTTGCAACTGGCTTGTGATACCATTCTTCTCACATCGTAAGGGGGCCTAAGTCCATATATTAACCACGCCTGACACTGAACACTGTGGCTTAAAAATATGTATCATAGCACATTCCAAAGAGGTTTTTATGGAAGGGCAGGATCGCTCGGGTGATGGATCAGCTGTCAGCTCCTGCCCTGCGGAATGTCTTTGTGCTAAACTAATGGTCCAGCAGAACCGCCAGCTTGACAGCCTGGGTATTTATTTGCATCCTGGTAAGAGAACTGACAACTTCATTGTTCTCAGTGTTCATTTTTCACAGCTAGATGCCTTTGCTCACCCAGAGTCTCATTCTTTGGTCAGAGAGGGGTGGTATTTTCAGTGTGTTCCGTTAAGCAGCTGGCTCCCACGTGAAAACTTAACGTGGCCATCTCACAAACATCCACTTGCTGCAGCTCCATTTTCAGGGCTGCTGCCTGTGAAAAATGGCAGTAATAAAATTCCTCTTGCCTTCACTGCACTGGAGATTTGGATAGCTTTAAATGGTGGGAAATAGACAGTACTGCTAGCCTGTTTTCTTCAAATATCATCCCAAAAATACAAAACAAGTTGGTGAAGTTGGGTAGCCTCCTTGCACAAGGCTTGACCATCTTGACCTCAGGATTGAATTTGGTTGCCAGTATCTGACCCCCTCTCAGTCTTCTTCTTCCCATCTGAGGACTTCCAGCTTCCTGATGCAGTTCTCACAGACACCATTTCTCCCAGGACTTCTTTTCAGCAGTGTTCATTTTTGTCATCGCTTGGACCCCATCCACATTGAAAACACAAAAAAAGTGAAGGAGCTCAGTCCTATCACAGTTAAAAGTTTGTTCTGCAAATGAGGCTTGGTTGCCAAGTTAAAAGTACAGCCCATCCTACAGAGGCCTGGCTCAGTTTTGGGAGCAGAACTAAATATTTCCACAAAACAGACCAGAACTACAACATAATCAAGCCAAAGGAAAAACCAGCTCATAACCAGGTCTCCTGACTGGTTACTAGTGACTTGTGTGAGGTTTCTGGAGTATGCATGCAAAGCTCTTGTTATGCTTACTGAGAAGACAAAAGAGTTTTCCAGTGAAAATTTTGGTAAGAAAACAGAAATATCTGGTGAAGAAAATTTTAATTATTTGATTGGGTGGATACAAAATGTTTTTCAGCTTCTCGTATGACAATCGTGATTATCAAAGTACTTTCCTGATGATTTAGATAACAAAATGATCTATTGAAGCTATTTTATGAAGCTCTACAACTGAATGTACGAACATCCCCAGGTCTTTTCTTCTTTCTTCAAGAGTGCAAAGGGAAGAAGCGATAAAAAGGTTTAAATTACTAGACTTTTTTCCACTTCAAAATTTTCCTCTTGGTGACTTTCCTCTGTAAAAGGAGAATTTAGTCATTTGCAGTCTTAAAATCCCTTTTTGCACGCAGAGTAAGCAACACATGAAACTGAAGGTTTTCTTCTGGACTGGAAGTCAATAACCATCAAAAGTCAGGGAGCACAGGAAAACGATGGGCACTAAGGCTCTACAGGGTGCCCAGAAGCTTTGATTTCATGCAGCTCATGTGGATTATTCTCCGTCAAAATGAAGCTGAGGCTTTAAAAGAACAGGGAATTTGCAAAGTCAAGTGCTCACACACCGTGAAATGTCAAAGTCCTAGTTATCAGCACCTTTGAGCAGAGACTCTGACAGAGCTGATCATTCCATACTCACTTATTTTGCAAACCAGTGTGGTCTCACTTTTACCACAAGAAACTGCTTCTGTGAAGATC